AAAATTGTTTATGTAATACAATATCTATATTTTACAACTGTGTGTCTATATATAGTTGATCAAATAAACTCATATAACAAAATTTTACCAAAATAGCATCTACTTAACAAATCGTAATTTTGTAAAAATGTGCGGAATCACTAGTTGTTGTTATTTTCATACTCACAAACTCAAAACAAGAATAATTTTATCCTTAGTTCCTTACTATATGTGAATTAATTATCGATGTTTAAATTATTTTCCTACCAAAAAGAATAATTTCATTATTTGATTAAAAAAAACTTTAACTCAAAATATATTTTTTATTGATATGTTGTTTTACTACTATAATTTATTTATAAATAAAAAGTTTAAAAAAAAATCTAAAACTATAAGGATTACTTAAGTGTTATTGAAAAAGAAAAAATTTGTAAGCATCTGATTTGTAAGCATCTGAAATAACCTTAAAATTTTGTAATGAATATAGATTTATTAATTTGCAAACGAAACTGATTTGAAATTTTTTCATAAATTTTCTTTCTGTTTACATAATTTGATTAAATAAAATTATAAATTATTGTTAACTCATTTAAACATTAATAATTAATTCAGATGGTAGGGGTAAAATTAGAATTTTATTTTTTCTTTTGAAATTGTGGATATGAAACAACAATTTATTTTTTGAGGATTAAATCACAAACGTTAATTAGTATATGTATTTTTCATTCAACGAAAAAGTTCAGGTATTAAACATTAAAAAATAAACCAAATATTTTTTGGGTTTTCCCCTTTAAAGTTTGGGATTTAAAGTGTTTTATTCACCCACGAGAAAATAATAATATTATTATTTGAAAGGGGGAATTTTAAAAATACCCATTTTCCAATACCACTTTTTAAAAATACCCCTCTTTCTAATTTTATCAAAACGTCACTATAAAATTTGAAATTTATCAAAAAAATATGTGTAAGCTTATACTTATAGACACAAATTATCTTTATATGTATGCAAATTTATATATATATTTCATAAGTACCATATAAATACCTTTTAAAAACCTTTTAGATAATCATTTAAAAACCTTATAAAAACTTTGTAAACCTTTTAAAAACCTTATAAAATCCTTATAAATACCATTTAGAACCTTTTAAAAGCTTATAACTATTTGGATTTAGTCTCCCAGTAGTAATGATTATCTTGATGTACCTTATCAACCATATAAAAGTTTATAATTTTTCATATTTGAAAAGGGGTATTTTTGAAAATGGATAGAAGAAAGAGATATTTTTCAAAAGGGGTATTTCTCAAAAATTCTCTATTTGAAAAGATTTAAACTCTAATTTTTATAGCCGCACACACAAAATGGTTGACAACGACATTGCCGCCGCAAATGATGTTTCTTCCCTACTCTTTGCTGCATCTTTGCTTAGCAAACATGGGAAAACGGCCGATTCCCCCACAAACTATGTTACTTTATCGCATTCACACACATAACTTTGTCGCGTGCCTATAACTATATAAATTTGTATTAAATTTGAATTTTCTACATGGACAAAACAAATCTGGTCTAAACCCACAAATCTCTAAACGACGTTACTATTCCGTTAAGAGAAAGATGACTAGGATGCCACGTGGATGGAAAAGAAAAAATAAGGAAAAAATTAATTAGCCCAGGTTCGAACCAACTACCTTTCACACAACCTAGCAGATGTAATACCACTACACCTCCTTCTAATAATGATAGTTATCTAAATGGATATATAGATATACAATAAATACAAAATGACAAAACTAAAAAAGAAACTCATCTCTCTTTGCTGTCTCGATTTCTTCATCTCCTCTCCACCATCATCACTCGTTCAACTCCAGCGAGAAACTGAAAAGTTTTTCTCTTAATCAAACTTGAATATCAATTTTTATTTTTATTTTCCTTTTGCGAAATCCAGTTGAATCAAATCTGATATGATCAACCAAAGAAAACCCAGTTTTTAGTCCAATAAATTATATGTGATTAGGAGATCGGAGAAGAGAAAACAATTAAAGGTTTTACCCCATTGTTTTTAATTTTCATTCTAGATCTACGACACAGAGATCACATAAAGACCAAAATTCAGAGAAATAAACCAAAAAATAAGTTCATTAACAGATTTGAGAAACAAAAAAAATTAACTAGATGATGAGAATAAGAAAGCGAAGTCATTGGAAACATAAAAAAGTGAACGGAAGGTGACAGATTGATCGGAGAAGAAGAGTCGGCGATGCACCTATCTACTCGACCTAATCTATGAGAAACAGATAATCGTTATATATAAATGTATATTTGATTGTCATTGTACATATAATGGTGTTGGCACAGTTGGTACTACGTAAGCGATTTTGAGTAGGAAGTCAAGGGTTCGATTCTTAGATATGTATTTATTTTTTTTCTTTAATAATACGACGTCGTTTTGGTGTTATCAAATCCACGTGGCATCCTAGTCATCTTTCTCTTAACGGAATAGTAACGTCGTTTAGAGATTTGTTGGTTTAGATCAGATTTGTTTTGTCCATGTAGAAAATTCAAATTTAATACAAATTTATATAGTTATAGGCACGCGACAAAGTTATGTGTGTGAATGCGATAAAGTAACATAGTTTGTGGGGGAATCGGCCGTTTTCCCTAGCAAACATAGTGGGAAGAAATGGGCTGATGGTCATGGCTTTACTATAGTGGATTTGTGCATTGATTCTAGTCCTCGGCGGCAAGATATTTTCAAACATGTTTTCAAAACAAATCGACCTTCTAACCAAAGGAGAAATGATCATAATCAGCAGGAGACTATGAGTCGATGATAAAAATATATTATTTCTATCAATTTTCATTTTTTCTTCTTATAAATTTTATGTTTATTTTAATTTTATTTAATATGTTTTCTATGATCCGGCAAACCACCATTGTCGATTCAACAATATTGTGGAGTTTTAAGCCAAAATAAAATTTGAACCCTATAAATTTGTACTTTTACAGATTATTTGTTTTAAACATATTTTTATGTATTTTTATAAAACTAATTTGTTATAAAAATAAAAAGGTATTTGTAAATAACTAGGACATATATACCATACTGACTTAGCTTTGAAGTGGTTTCTCCGTGAACAGTGTCACCTTAAATCATTATTAGTCTTCATCATTTGCTCCCCTTTATTTTTGTAGGCGCCAGTCTTCTTCATATGGCCGCATTGCATCAATATGGATCAAATAATCCATTGGGTGTACATTCTAAGATGGATAAAATAGTTTTTACCCTTATTTTTGTGTCTCATCACTAAAGTGTGTTTCACTCGTTTTGCTACATTTCCTATGTCAAGCTCTCTATCTTGGTTAATGGTTCGAGATGTCCAATATTTTATAATATTTTTTCTTTTTTGAAAAATACTTTAAAAGTTTGAATCTCTAATTACTAAGGCTCGCACCGCTCGCCCTCCCACTTGAGTGAGCACAGATAAGCTCGACATCAAAATTGTTATCCAGTCATTGTTCACAATCGGTACGGTTCTCAAATTTAGTGAAAGAAATTCTCTCATTGTTGCAAAATTACTTCTTCGTTTTTAGAATATGTGAATTTGATGTCCAACGAACCGCCTCCTCTGGTGATGCTTTTTCCTCCGCTCTTCGAGTTCCCTCTACTCTCCTCATGTATTAAGTAAATATATCATTTTCTATGATTTGTTCTAGATAGTTTAAATTTTTATAAACATAAAATTTCAAGTGCCTCTTCTACCACGATTTCAATTGCGTTGATTTCAACCATTTGTATAAATATTTAGAAAAAGAAAATGAACAAACCATAGCAAGTTAGCAACTCTCTACGTTCAACATGATTCCTCATTAGGAAAAATGTCATTTAATCTACGAACTTACAAATTTAGGCCATTTAAACCACAAATTTTTTATGTGACCATTCAAAACATGAACTTGTCGTTGGCGTATTTATAACATCATCTTTCGTTGACCAAGCCTAAATAAACATAATATCCTCAAGTCCGTTAACAAAGGAGCTAGCCATCGTTAATTCAAAATTTTTAGTGAGAAAAAGGTCGTTTAAGGCTAAAAAGAAATCCCCAAATTGTGATTTAAGCGTCATAATCCAAAATTTTAAAATCCCTAATTTCTCATTTGGAGACTTCATTTTAGCTTTAAACAACATCGTTTCTCACTACTATATATGGATTAATGATGGCTAAATGTATGTTAGGTGTTATGTTAATGACGTAGAGGATATGATGTTCATTTTGTGTAGGTCAACGTAATATGAATAGATTCTTAATTCACATAATATAAATTCCAAAATTACGATAAGAGATCATATTGTGTCATCAGCAGAAATAAACAGCAAAATCAAACATCAAACATCTATATTAATATTTTTGAATCACTTTTCAAAATAAATCCTAGAGTTCCAAACTATTTACAAAGAATTCCATTGATATTTATTATTTATGTACAAATTTGAAACTAACAATAATCACTTTTAACAAATTTTCCATTAGTTACATTTTTGGTATATTTATGACAAATATATGATAATCTTTATGTTACAATTTATGGTAAATTTATGACAGTATTTCCGTAACTGATTATTATTAGTTTCAAAATTTTACAAAAATAATAAATATCAATGGAATTCTTTGTAAATAGTTTGAAACTCTAGGATTTATTTTGAAAAGTGATTGAAAAATATTAATATAGATATTTGATATATAATTTTGTTGTTTATTTCTGCTGATGACACAATACGATCTCTTATCGTAATTTTGGAATTTATATTATGTGAGTTATAAATATTAATTTAACAACTCATTAAAAGAAAAACACAAAATATAAAACATATAATTTAGTTTGATTTGATTTTTAGATTTTTAGGTATGAGAATATTTTTGTTTGTTTAGTTTTGCTTCATTCGTTCTCATCACAAGTATGAAATATACATTTCCACGATTATGAAACTTTAGACTGAAAGAATATATAGTAAAAAACGTATCATTAGAAAACTTATTAATCAACTTTAAACATTAATTTGAGAAAAAAGAATACACACTGGAATCACTAGAACATTTATATATACAATCAAATCAAATTGATTCGATTTTGTATAATTGACACCATTCTTATATATTTTCTATTAATCTACCCAATTCACCAACTACAATATTGATCTTTAAAAAAAATGAAATAAAATGTTTAAGAAAAAAAGAAAGTAAAAAAGGTAAAAAAGTAAAAAAAAAAGTTCAAGGAAGAAGATCATCGCCGAAGAGGTAAAGGAGTCGTTCAACAGCCCAACTAGGTTGGTTAACGGAAGAACAATCCGAGAACGACGGAAGCAACGGCGTTCGACAAAGCGGACAAGTACGGTGGTTATCATCATCATCCCCGCCGCAACCGCCGCCTCGACATACATAATCAACCCACCGGTCAATACAATCACGATGAAACACGTGAGTACAGTTCCTAAGCTCTCTAATTTCGTCGTTGTCTTCTAAATCTCCTAGACACACCGCGCACGTGTCGCTAATCGACGACGACGCGGGGGATCTCTCCACCGCGTCGCGGAAAGCTGTTATGGCTAGGCTTTCTTTAATGGTTTGAGATGAAACGGAAAGAGATAAAGATTTTGGTTCGGAAATAACAGATGATGATTGAGATCGGTAACGGAGGATACAGGCGAAGATCCATCGTAAAACCGCGATGACGACCGCGGTTTTGTAAAGAAGGTGGCTGATGATGAGATTAGTGTCTTCGATGAAGAATGTCATTGTAATGTTTTCTTGGTGAAGTGTTAAGAGAGAGAGGAGAAGAAGAGGGAGGAAGAGAGGTTTAGCATCATGTTCCCTTTATAAAGGAAAATTAAAGGTTGCTTTATAAAAAATTATAATGTTTATATATACTATTGTTTTAAATTTTATTTTTGCATTAGAAACTTTAGTGTCTTGTGTTTATCTTTTGTATCCTAAAATTTTAAATTATAGAGTTAAAGAATCTATGTATAAAAGTAAAACAATTAAACGTCTATTATATTGTTTTATCGGCTGTAGTATGTTGAAAAGTTAATCAGTCAAATAAAATGTGCTTTTTATCCATACAAAGATAAACAGTAAAATTGAAAATTCAAAGCATGGAAACTATTAACTAGTTGCAAATTGAAATAGAGTAAAAGGGAGAGAAAAAAAAAACTTGGATAAGATTTATGTTATTCAAAGTAATTAAAGTTTGGATAAGATTTTTGTTCGATTTATGTTATTTAATTAGCATTTATCCGACTAATTAAATAATAAATATAATCACTAAAAATTTGACTCGTCACAAATTTTATAATATATTATAATCCGGAGCACCATTTTTATACTTGTAAAACAAATTTTCAATAGAAATCGAACTAAAATTACATTTAAAAGAAAAATCAATTTACACCTGTTTTGTAAATTTAAATTTTGGTTTACACATATACTAAACTCTCTCTCTCTATATATATATATATATATGAAATTGAATATATTTATAAGTTGAATACAAACCCAATTATGTAAAGGTGAATCTTATTAATTTGGGTGAAGAAATGAAAATCTAAAAAAATCATCAAGGGTGAAGACAGTTGTGAGCAACTAAAGAGAAGGTGACGTTGTGATGTTAGGTTAGTGCCGTTCATGTGTCCACGACAGTCTTTGCTAGTCTGGCTTTTGCATTGCATTGCATGATAAGGACGGTTGGGAATAAAAGACGATCGTCGTAATCACTTTTACCAAACCACCCAAAAAGAGAAACATAATATTTTACAACACAAGGACATGCAAAAACATTTTGATGTAACATATCTATTTATTATATATCATTATCGTTGGGGTTCTCTTTTAGGAGCCATTGGTCACATAAGCCTTTAAAATTTGTTTAGTACATTTGTGGCTTATTTGCCTTAACGATTACGGCTTGCTTTGTTTTACATTTCACATAAATTTTTGGGTTTTCTTTTAGTTTTTGTTAGGCCTGCGACATCGGGTCGGGTCGGATAATACGGATCGGGTATTCGGGTAATTTGGAATTTGAAAAACGTTTTCGAAAATAACCGAACTACATAATGGGTCGGGTCAGTTTGAGTATCGGGTTTTTTCGGTTACTTTTTTTCTTACCAAAATGAACCAAATGTTTAAGATTCTCGGTTAGATTAGTAAAATCGGATCAAAAATCTTGGTTAAATGTGGTAATTTCGGTTAATTCGGTTAATTTGGTTATATCGGATCGGTTATTTTGATTAATTTCGGATAAATACGGATAACTTCGGATAACCGATCGGGTAACGGATTGGTAACCGACTGGAATTTATTAATCCTTCCGATCGGTTATCTCTGGTTAACCGAAACCGAACCAAAAACCGAAAATCTCGGTTCGGGTCGGTTTGGTATTTTCGGGTCGGATACTAATCCCAGGGGTAATTTTTGTTACAAAAGTTAGAATGATTAGACAAGTCAAATTCGAAAATGTGGAAATAATTAAAATATTTATGAGATTTTTCATTAGAGTTTATTATATATTCAGGCTTACGTTGCATTTCATTAATTTATTTAAATGTTCTTACGTGGCATCTTTAATGAAATTTAAATATTGAATTAGAGTTCTATAACGTAAAGGCTAATACGAGTAGCGCGTTAATTAGTTAGTTAAAATAATAAATTTGTGATAGACATCAACCCATTAATAGCACAGTAGTAGTGGTTCTGCTTTTTGTTTTTTTTTGTTTTACAGTTAAGAAATTTCACGTAAGCATATATATCACTATATTTAGATGTAAAAACTACGATGATGGTGTAAAAGGATTGATTGTTATACTTTTGAATCAGATAGTGCTGAGTTTATCGCAATGGTGTAAAACTATCAAGAGTGACGAGCTTTCTCTAACATGTTAGTTGAATTCTTTGTGTTACGTGCGTATTTTTCTTCATTTTTTAAACTAAGATTTCACATTCTTGTAATTCAAAAGTGGATTGTCTTGCTCGTTCTTTCAGATCACTTGATTTTAAAGTTTCTTTTGTAAACGATTTTTCCTTCCTGGTTAGGTTACTAATCATAGAACAATATTTTAATTAATGTGTGGTTGACAAAAAAAAAACCCTACCATGATGCATGCAATGAAGTATTACTAGGATATAAAAAAGACAAGAACAAATCATAACAGAAAATAAATATTATTATCGTTATAACGGTCACAAAATATAAATATTATTTTTGTTATAAGAATTTTATTGTAACAAAAGCAATATAAATTCTAATATATTACAATAAATCGTTTCAAATCCAAGTAAATTAAAATAACAATTGTCACGATTTCTAATGTTAACAATTCGTCATAATTAAATACGAAAAAGACACAATTAGTTACGGAATTACTGTCATAAATATACCATAAAATGTAACATAAAGATTATCATATATTTGCCATTAGTTACATTTTACGACCAAAATATAGTCTCGAATTTGACATACTTAGCAAATCGATTATAATCAGACAATCATCACAATTTGGTATTTTATTTGCGACTCTAGAGTTATAGAACGATTATTAAACTTTATTATAATGATCATGGTCCTTAATTAGGTTAAGGAACTAGACAAAACCTTTCCACATGCACATGAGTACATGACACATGTTGTCGTCGACTACCAAAAACGATCGTTAAACTTATAAAAAGACAAGATGGTCCCAATCTGACACATCAGTTTCCTAACTATCTTACTCAGATTCCATTTACTTGTAAAGTTTCAAACTTTCATGTCAAAATGCTCGTATAAATCTAATATATGAAGAAAAAATATAAACCAAAGATAAATAAAAGCATATTGCAAATGTCCAAAATCTTCCACACTATTGCATCATTGACAAAAATTGTTTTCGATTAAACAAATTGGATACAATGTTTTGACTCTAATACAAATGGCCTGACCAGAGAAAGGGAAGAAACAACATGATCATAAGATTTTGGTAGAAGATGGAAGAAGTAAAAATTTGAGATACCAAGTTAAGTATATAGTATTGACTTTCACTACAAGAAAACACGCGTATTGCTAGGGAAAAATGCCTAGCGTATTCCTCGCAATACGTTAATCGCAAGGGAATTGCGAGAAACGACTTTTCCTCGCAAATCGTGACTCGCAAATTGTAACGCTCGCAATTCACTCGCAAAATTTGCGAGGTATTACATGTCTCGCAAATTCCCTAGCAAATTGCGAGTAACTCATTCCTAGCACTTTTATCGCTATATTTGCGAGGGTTTACATGCCTCGCAAAGGGCGTAGCAAATTTGCGAGGGCTGGCTTAGTTGCAATTTACTTGCAAAATTACTGTCTTGCAATTCCCTCGCATATGTTGCGAGGCTTTCACAAATGTTTGGTTCCTTGCAATTGGTTAGTATACAGACCAAATCATCACTTATGCTATGAATCTAATTGAAATTAGAAACTGAATTATGATTTAAATTTACTTGCAAACTGAATTATGATAAAATGAAAAATAGAAATTAGAAACTGAATTATGATAAAAGTCATAGGTTTAGGTTTACAAATTTACAATCATGAAAATCAAAAACTAAAGTTCATCATATCAACTTGGTCAGAGGAGGTTCCATTGTGGTCAAGAGTTCAAGTCCATAGCAGAGGAGGTTCCAATGTGGGCAGATGCAGTGGCAGCCTCAGTCTGATTTGTCATGTCAGCCCCGGTCTGGTTTGTCTCTGTCGGTCCAGCTGGGTGTCCAGATCGAAACCTTGCAGCAAACTCTGGATCCTTCTCAGCAAAGTAATCAAAATAAGCTTGCAAGCAATTAACCTTCTCAATACTCTGCTGAAGAAGAGCTTCAGTTGCTGCTAGCTTTTCCTTAAGCACCACCGGATCATCGTCAGCTGGAGCAGGAGGTGCACCAGTATGGGCTGAAGCCGCTTCAGCTTGCAAAGAACCAACTCCATAAATTCTGTTCTTCTTCTTTGGGGCAACCTGGCAACAAAACAAAGAAACTGTAATTACCAACACAAAACAGAACTGAGAAGACACAAATGCTTCTAACTTTAAATCCGAGAAAAGAAAAAACACAACTGAGAAGTCTATGTGCTACTACAATACAGAACATGCCTAAGTTACATAGAAAAGAAATACAACACATACAATACAAATGTTGGTGACAAGCTACTAACAAATTAACAACAATACAAAAGCTAACCATAGAAAGAGAATGAAAGAGTAATTAAAGTTGAGTGGTACCTCGGCAAATATCTTGTTTTTTACATAAACGGGCAACCCTGGAGAAGAAATAGGCACGGTCCTTGTAAGATTCATAATCTTTTTCTTCTAAATTGGGAAAGGCTTCACGTATCTGCGAATCAAATATCCTACACTCAAAAATTATTATGTCAATGTCCATAAAGAAGTTTAAATACACAGTAAAAAATCAATATTAAATTAAATCCAAATTTTGTACCTCTCGAAAGATTGGATGTAATCCAAATTACGCAAGATGTAATTGTGAGCTGCTCGACAATAGGCATGATCTTCCCACCAAACTTCTTTCAACTTTCCAGCAAGTCTTCCTATCTGTGCAAAGACATCCGGGACATCAGGAACATTATAGGTTTGTGCAACACCTCCGTCGTCATATCGTCGAGGACGAGTTTTTTTTGTTCTCACGGAAGGGCTAAAGTAGTAAGATGTAAAATGGGAAGTTTCCTCCGTTAGACTTCCGGCGACTATCGATCCCTCAACTCTTGCAAGATTTTTCGCCTTTCCTTTCAGAGACTTCATAAACCGCTCAAACGGATACATCCAT